CTCTTCATCAATTGTAGCGCAGTAGTATACGATACGGGAAGTACTGGGATGGAAGGGAGCGTTCCATCGTCATAAGCCTCCTTTATAGTTTTTCCTTTAAAGAGTTCTATCTTCGAAGGATAATAAGGAGAGAGTGGATCTCCATGCCCGTGCATTAATGATCCTCTTTGAACACTTTCGTTTGGCATCCAGATCGTTTTTGGATAGACATGATCTGAGCTTATAAAAAGTTCTAAAGCTCAACATGAAACGTTTTCTTACCAGAATCAACGCCATCTTGAGCAACATCCCAAGGGTCAGAAAACAGAACTCATCCAACGAGTCCAACNGGCTGAGCAGTGGACGATCCGGGTGTCGTTCTATTAGAGGTTTTACGGTATTTACGTCGACGATCTATTTTCAAAAAAAATTCAGGTCTCTAAATTCTCAAGTTTTAGGTATAGATCAGTTGAAAAACAATTTAGACATCAGTCCCTAGTAGACTAATCCTCCTGCTCTCCGACAGCAAACCACCTGTTCTCTCTCCTGAGAAATGAAGTTCACCCTCTTAAGTTTGCTTGAAAGTGTTAGAAGATTCTTTGAGATTCTAAAAGCTACAACGAATAGATGCTTTTTAAAAGGATCTAGACCATTATTTAGAACTGAACATTTTTCTTGTAAAAGTCTAAACCATTTTCAGGTCGTCTTCCTTGCTCTGGCTATGATGGCTTGCCTCTCCAACGCATGGACGAATTTCAAAGGCCCGTGTAAAATAAATGCTGATTGTTCACAGGCTAAATGCCTCATGGGATTCTGTCAGCAAATGCCATTCCGTAAGTGCGAAACCACTGCCGACTGTCAAAAGGATCATCAATGTAATAGTGGATTGTTATAATGCACCAAAGAACATTGACACTTTCTTTGATCAAGGAGATAATTGAATAAAGATGAAGATTGATTGAAAAATATTGTATTTGTTGTTTTTTTTTGTTATCTACGAATTGGGCCATCATCTCAAAAACATGTTGTTTGGGAACCGTCCTTGGTGTTTCTGTAGTGTTTTGTCTCTGAACCAGAATTTCCAAAACTAATTTTTATAGAACATTTTATTATGGAAAAAAAGAAACAGGACAAAAAATCACCGATAGAAAATGCACGGTATTGTGTAACAAATATAGAAATTATGTACAGAAAAAGTTTCGGAGGATAAAAAATTCTGAAAAAAAAACAATCATACACGTTTTGGAGGTGATTGAGGTGTGGTGACTTAAATTTTGAAAGTCTGGGGAGGGAAGAATTTTTTTTTAATTTTTGGGAAATTAGATTTTTAAGGGTTTAGGAAGGTTGTGGTTAAAGTGGTCTAAAGAGTAAAATTTCAAAAAATTAAAAAGAAATTATCGCTCCAAAAGCTCTGGTGGTGGATTGAAAGTTGTCTTCTCTTTATAATAAACTTGCTCGTGGTCCTTATCACAAACCAACATCACCACGGATCCGAGAGTGAAAAAAGCTGCTCCCCAAGCGATTCCATAAGACCAATCGACTTCCCAATTTCGACGGCTACCGTATTCATTCATGTTAACGTAGAAGGCTGCTGGGAACTCGATCAGTGCCGCCAGTTCACAGAGAGCTGCAAATTTCAGTGTTTTTTGATTTTTAGAGTTTTGAGAATTCGATGTTAAAATATTTTGGAATTTTTCAAATCTGAAATTCTCAAATTCGGAGATTTCGAAATTCCAAGAATCTGTGAGTGTAGATTTTGAAGATCATTTCAGATATCACAAAAACCCTAAAACAGTCTTTGGAAAATCGTCGGAAAAACTTCAAAATTTTGAAAACAGTGAATTTGTAAAATTTTAAAACTTTCAGAATCTCTAAAATTCAAACAAATCTTAATTCATTCAAATATTTTAGAATTCTAAAGTTTTAAAAATCTAAGCTTTGGTTTAGGATTAGAATTTTTAGAACCCTGAAACCGTAGAGGCCTAAAATTTTAGAATCTTAGAATCTTAGAATCTTAGAATCTTAGAATCTTAGAATCTTAGAATCTTAGAATCTTAGAATCTTAGAATCTTAGAATCTTAGAATCTTAGAATCTTAGAATCTTAGAATCTTAGAATCTTAGAATCTTAGAATCTTAGAATCTTAGAATCTTAGAATCTTAGAATCTTAGAATCTTAGAATCTTAGAATCTTATAATCTTATAATCTTAGAATCTTAGAATCTTAGAATCTTAGAATTTCAGAACTCCAGGATTTCAGAATTTCAGAATTACATAATTTTGAACTTTAAAAATCATAGAATTTTAGAATCTCATAATCTGATATTTCGAAAGTCTAAAAGTGTTGCTTACCTGCGAAACCGGACAAAACAGTTGCCAACTTGTACCACCGATATTTTCCACGGACATCCGATTTACTGAGTCCGACGATATTGAAAATTGAGGCGAAAAGTGTGCAGGCCAGAGCAACAAAAAGAAGAACAGCGGCGGCGATCAGGAATCCTGAAAATATTAGGATTCAATTAGCCATAATTCTCTGAATCTCTGATTCGTAAAGCACTTTATTTATAGCATTTCTTCTGATCCCAATTATCTCAATTTCTGTGAGAGATATCAAAAATGTGCCAACAAATAAAATATAGGTGATGTTATAATAGGAAACATTTTATCAGTTAATAGCTTTCAGATATCTCGTACAGGAACCGAGATAATTGAGCTCAAGTTGAAGTCCTCTCTTCTCACCGCATCTTGTAATAATAACTCATCAACTGACTTTTGACTTTGCTTCATTTTCCAAAAAAACCTTTTTTTTTAATTCCCGCCGTTACCGTAGACACTCCGATCCCTCAACTTTCAACTTTGACCCAAATTATCTTGTTTTCTGTAAAAGATATCCAAAAGTGGTCAACTGATAAAATATTTTTGATAATGTGATAAACATTTTTTCAGTTGACCAATTTTTGCTATCTTATACAGGAAACGAGATATATAAGTTCAAAGTTAATAGCTGGGGCGGGGCGCTCTATGCCAGCTTTAAAATTCTTATGTTTCCTCACCTTGATTTCTAGATGGACCATGGCAATGACCTGGTGCGGGGGCACCAGGGAATGGAGCAGCGTGTGTTGGTTCGTTTGATGATGTGCATTCTTTGAAGAGTCCCGTTCGAAATGATCCTGTTTTGAGCCAAGAGGTTGAGCAGAGGGCCAGAATCAGGAAACCCATCGCGATGACTAGGGATATCAAGGAGATTATCTGGAATTTTTTTTCGGGTTTTCAAAAAAGGAAACTCAATTTTTTTCCAATTTTAAAAAACTTCAAAGTTTCAGAAATTCTGAAATTTTCAACTCGAATTAAAATAAGAACTTTCGAGTCAATTTTTTAAAACTTTGAATTAAGATTCTTGAATTTTTGGAAATTTTAAATTCTGAACATTTATAATTTTTAACGCATTTCTGGAAACTGAAATTTTGAAGCTTCAGAATCTTTGAAGACGTTTTCAGATTTTTCAATTTAACAAAAAATTAGATTTCTGAAACTTTAAAAAATAAGTTTTTTTTAATTTTTCGAGTTTTTCTGATTTCAGATTTAGAAAGACATTTTCAGATTAAACTTTTTTAATTCTTGAAAACTCACTTTAAGAGGCCTCACCGCCGAGACGGCCTCAATGGTAGTTCGTTGTACAGCTACCATTCTGTCTCTCGACGACGTTCTCTCGATATCCGGAATTCTGAAAAAATTTGAAATCTAAAATAATATTTTTTTTTTTAAAATTGACAATTTAGAGACAACCGACAAAAAAACGGGATTTTACAAAAATAAGTATCTGAAAAACTGGAAAAAATACTTTCAAAAAATGGGAAAGAAATAAGGTTTGAGATTGAGAAGTTTTAATTTTGAAATCCTGACATAGTTTGAAAATAAAACACCTCGAAAGTTGTGAAAAATTTTCAAAAAGTTCAAAGATATAAAAGTACTAAACAAGAATTTTAAAAAGTTAGTAGTTGTTGAGTAATAGTTGTTGTAAAAATGGAAGAGCAAAGTGTGGCAAAAGAGGCTCAGTGGGAACGAAAAGCGAGAGAGTGTTCAACGGAGAGAGACGCAGAGAAATGCAGAAGAAGAGGAGGGAAAGAAGAAGAAGAAGCTCGGATATAATCGCGTCTAACTAGTTTCTTCTTCCCTTTTTCCCTACCAAACACTTATACAAACTTTTTTAATGATTGGAGAAAAAAAATGATTAGATTTGTTTCTGGAACTTTTGGTTTTTTTTTGTTGAAAAATCTTGTTTTTCAGAACTTACAGAATCTCAGAACTTAGAATCTTAGAATTTCGGAATCTCTTATTTTCAGAATCTCGACATTTCAAAAACTCAGGTTTTCAGGATCTCAGAATTTCCAGAATCTTAAAACTTCAGAATTTACGAATTTGAGAATTTCAGAGTCTTGAAGTTTCAGAATTTCATAATCTTAGAATCTTAGAAATTTGTTTATTCATTCAGATGATTATTGGAGGAGGAAAAGTAAAAGAGGTAAAAGAGGATTCTGAGAATCTGAGATACGGAGGTTCTGAGATTCTGAGATTCTGGGATTCTGAACATCTGAATTTCGAAAACTATAGAATTTCAGAAATTGCCTTCGAAAATTTTAGAATCTCAGGAATTTAGAATTCCCAGAAATCCCCCGAGTTTCTGAATTTTAGAATCTCAGAATCTCAGAACCCCAGAATCTTATTATCCCAGAATTCCAATATCTCAAAATCTCAAATTTTCAGAGTTTCAAAATTTACGAAAAATTCAGAATTTCAGAATCTCAAATCCACAAATTTCAGAAATTAAAGATTTTGGGATTTTCAAAGATTTCGATCCTTTTTCTCGAAAATTTGAAAACGAATTGCCAAAAAGTTGTCTAGAATGTTCGAGAAAAAAAGAAAAAGAAATAGAAGAACTCACAATCAGCCAAAAAAGAGCACAAAAAAGTGAGCAACAAGAAGAAGCTCTCACAAACAAATTTATTCAATTTATTTGGGAGAAAAAAGATGAAGAAGAAAGAGAAAGTATATTTTTTCTCACATAAATAGAAGGAGTTATTTTTGTATTTTTCGAGATTTTTAGATAAAACTATTTTCTTTTTTTTTTGAGTTCCGGAAATCCGAGAAAAATAGAAATTTCGAACTATTTTTCCAGAAACTTTTTTCAAAAAGCAGAGCCGAAAATAGAGCGAAAAATAAGGAAACGAAGCACCAAGAATACTTGAAAAACTCCGAAAAACAAGAAATAGTTGGAGGAAGAAAAGAAGAAGAAGAAGAGGAAGAAGAATGAAGGAGGTATTGCATTTCAGTAGTGCGCGCATTCCACCACACCAGTTTTGTGTTGTTCAGTGGTTGTATAGCCAGCTGGTGGACTAAATTTTGAAAAGTTGGAGGTCTAGAAAATCAAGTTAGGCCATGAAGAGGGAAATTACATGGAAAATTGAAAATTAATTTTAAATTTCTTTTTTTTTAAAAACGCGAATTTTTTTTCTTGTTAAAGGGGGTTTTTAAAAAGCTTAAAACCCCCCATGAATTTTCTAAAATCTAAAACAAAACTTGCAAAAAATGCTGTAAAATCAAAAAGTGAGTTTTTTTTCGGTAAGCCCCGCTATAAGAGAGCCCCAAAACTTTGATCAAAATCATCTTGGTCCCTGTAAGAGATATCAAAAAGTGCTCAACTGACAAAATAGTTCTGACATTATGATAAGCATTTTATCAGTTGACCACTTTTTGAAATCTTTCACAGGAAACGAGATAAACTAGGTTAAAGTTGAGAAAATCCTTCTGTATTACGGGTTTACAGTTAAAATCAAAAAGTTACATAGTTCTTAACTTCGATACATTCTGTCGCCCAGTTAATAAATGTTTTTGAATAGCAAATCGAACCAAAGAAGTTTCTCCTAGGAAATACGTCCTAGGAAATACAAATTGAGATTTTCTGAATACTGCTTGATTGAGACGGCAAGCACCTCAATAGAATGAACCTCTTAACTTTCAACTTTGAGCATATTCATCTCATTTTTTATAAGAGATACCAAAAAGTGATTAACTGGCAAAATTTTTACAATGTTATCAAAAACATATATTTTGCCAATTGACAGCGTTTTGATATCTCTCACAGGAAGAGATATAAACAGGCTTGAAGTTGAAAGTTAGAGGCCATTCTGTAGTGTTTACGGTACATGAACTTTGAGCTCACATATCTCATTTTTGTGAGAGATATAAGAAAAGTGATCAACTGATAAAATGTTTATCACATTATCAAAAATATTTTATCAGTTGACCACTTTTGGATATCTTTTACAGAAAACAAGATAATTTGGGTCAAAGTTGAAAGTTGAGGGATCGGAGTGTCTACGGTAACGGCGGGAATTCAAAAAAATAGTTTTTTTGGAAAATGAAGCAAAGTCAAAAGTCAGTTGATGAGTTATTATTACAAGATGCGGTGAGAAGAGAAAAGAGTTGTTCGAAGAAGAAGAACAGATGGGATATTGAGAGAGAAGAAACCACAAAATGAAAAGAATAGAAAAGAGCAGAAGTCAACAAAAGAATGATAATTAGAAGTAGAAGAAGAGGAGGAGAAGAATGGGGAACTTCAGAATCGTTGAATAAAATTCTTCGAGATATTCGCGAAAAATCATGTTTTAACATTGGTCTTGGAAAATCGAAATTCCAGATTTTTCACTCCAAAGTTTCAGATTCTTCCCATTTGAGGATCTCATTTTCCGGAACTGTGAAATTTCAAAATTTCAGAATTTGCGACTCTAAACTCCCAGATAACCACCAAAAAAACAACCTAAAGATTTTCGATCTCCTCCGAAAAATAAAATATTTTTTGAGTGCCTCCTCCGCCTCGTTCAAAACAAATGTATTTTGTTACATAAAAATGTAAGATGTTCAAAACGACGAACAGCTGGCTGGGAGAACAGGTTGATGAAGAAAAAAAATTAGAGACAACTAGAAATAGAGAGACGGAGAGAGTGTGAAAAAACACTCCTTTTTCGAAGGCATTCCTTTAGATTGCACATTGCTTGTGTGTGCACATACACATGAAAAAGTGTGTGCTCTTCAAATTTTGAAAGGAGGAGGAGGCTTGGAACCGCGAACAATCATCAAACAAAATGCCGCTTCTACAAACGACGGTAGTTTTCCTTTGAAGGAAAGAAAACACTAGGAAAAAACCAAATGTTCCCAGGCGGGGGTCGAACCGACTGGCTACCGCCTCCCAGTGGCGTGGTGGACAGCATGGCTACCGCCTGTGCCACAGGTGCAACAACCTCGTTAGGTTGGTTTTACCATACAAGAAGATGTGAAAAGAGCTTCTGGTCGAGAGGAGATCTGAAAAATATTGGGTCTTTAGAATTTCAAAAGTTCAAAATTGAAAATAGGACAAATCACGAGAAAGAGGACAAAAAGTGTTCGTGGGAGGACCCGAGGGACCAGGGGATTAGTGTAAAATTGGAAAAAAAGAAGAAAAAGAAGAAGAGGAGGATATTTTTAGTGGAAGAATCATCGAAAATTTTTGAACAGAGGGAAAAACGAAAAAAGATCCCATTCTATACTAATAGTGTGATAAAATGTGTGTGGGTCAGAGGAAAGAAGAGAAGCTATTATAAAAGAATTGGGGTGTCAATTGGATGATTTATGAGCGTTTCAGAGAGCGGTTCGTAAATCATTTAATGGGAGTTTAACCTATTTTGAATTGAATTGAATTTCAAGAGTAAAAAAAATGTAACTTAAAATTGTTAGATTTGTCTGAAAATTTGAGACAATACTAAACAGAAATTGAACTTCATTTTTGTAGTTGATCACTTTTTTCCAGAATTTCATCTAGAGGAGATATGAAGTCTAGCAGCGAATAAAGCTAGAAATTTAGATGACATAATTTTAAAAAGGCTATAACTCTTTTCAAAATCATCTTACAAAAATATTGTAAACTACAAAAATGAAGTTCAATTTTCGCTTGAAATATTCTGAAATTTTCAAGAAAATCTAAATAATTTGAGCTAATTGTTCAAAGCGTTGTATGATGGTTGAATCAACCAAAAAAAAACCTCTCACTGTATAAAACATTTTGAACTTGGGAATATTTGGAAGAGTGATGTGTCATAAAGTAGAAGTAGACACATACTGAGAGAGAGAGAGAGAGAGAGAGAGAGAGAGAGAGAGAGAGAGAGGACAATAGGTGACACATTGTACTCTCATACATTTGCGTCTCTTCAGAAAGGTTGCATTGCATTTTCGAAAATACCGAAATCCGTAAATGCGCAATTCAAATTGAAGGGTGGGAAAAAGCGATAAATTTGAGGAATGGCGAGGATTTGTGACGCCTGCTTTTTGGGATTTCATTATTGTTTTTTGGGTGGGAAATAGGCGGGGTTTTTGGAATTCAGACGGTTTTGAAAACTCGAAACGTTTTAAGTTTTCAGAATAACAAAATCCACAAAATACGATCATTTTTTTAAGAAATTCTCAAACCCTTGAAAACGCTGGAGACTCCTGAAAATGTTAAACATTTTAAAAATCCGGAATTCAGGAGAATAAAAAAAATTTCCAAATTTCCAAAATTCCGAAACTTCAAAAAATCAAGAAATTTTGAAAATTCCTAAATTCCGAAAGTTCAGGAAACTCCGAAATTTCCAAAAGACGGGAAAATTAAAAAATTTCAAATTTCAAATACATCCTGAAATTTTAGTGTTTTTTATTTATAATTTTCCGATATTTTTTAAAAATTCGAAAATTCAAAAAACAAAAAATCCCGCAACTTCTAAAAAATTACAAAATTTCCAAAGCTCCTAAAAGATAATTTAAAATATCTAGAAATTGAAAAATTCTAAAGTTCGAGAATTAGAAAATTCAGATGCCCAGAAAATTTGAAATTACAAATTTAGAGAAAATTTCAAAGTTCTGAAAAAGTCTAGAATTTCTAATAATCCCAACAACTCCAAAACTTCAATTTTCCAATTATTCAAAATTTCACAAATGCCAAAATCCAAAAAATCCATGTCGAGAAAATTTAAGTTTCCAAAATTTTAGAATTTCCAAATATTGGAACATTCTAAAGCTCTTTCCAACAACTCTGAAGCCCAGAAACCTCAGAATCTACAGAAAATAACAGATATCCAAAATCCCAATACTTCTAAACGTTCTAATTAATCAAAGATCTAAATTAGTGGTAATTTGAATACTAACCCATCCTAACCTATTCAATCTCTTCAATACACCTTTTCAATATTTGCATTTGAAATGATGGCAAAATAGTGTGAAATGATGCATACCAATGAGAAGACGAGAGAGACGAGAAAGGGTGTACAGAGAGTGGTGAGACGCAGAGAAAAAATGAATCATAAATGGTAAAATTTGCGTGGGGAGGAGGGGTGACAGGGAGACAGGTATTATCACAGCAGGGGGAAGAGAACTTCGGAACAACGATTATTCATCACCATATTGATATCGAAATGGGAGAATACCCTCTAATAGAACGGCACTTTGAGCTCAATTATCTCGTTTCTTACAAAAGATATTGAAAGTCTGTCAACTGATAAAAATAACACAAAAATTTTTGTATTTTCAGATTTTTGATATCGCTCACAGAAATCGAGATAATTGAGTTTAAAATAGACCACATGCCGCGACGAGGGCATGACCTCTTTACCGAGTACTGTTAACTTTAAGCTCAATTATCTCGGTTCCTTTAAGAGATATTAAAAATCTACCGACTGACGAAATGTTTATCATAATATGAGGAACATTTTTGCAGTATCCAAATTTTTTGTATCCCTCCCAGAAATCGAGATAATTGAGCTCGTAGTGGACCACAGATGGCAGTGTAGAGCGTCCTCCTAGCCAGGTAATGTCAACTTTGAGCTCAATTATCTCGGCTCCTATGGAAGGTATCAAAAATCTGTTACCTGATGAAATGTTTGTCATATTATCACCTACATTTTATCAGTTGATCACTTTTTGATATATTTGAAAAGAACCAAATTAATTGAGCCTAAAGTGTGAGTACATTAGATCATTGTATGAATACGGAGAGGTCGAAACAAAAACGTTCGCAAGAGGACATTTTTTCGAAATTCCTGGAGAAATAGAAAACCAAAATTTTGTAAAAAATTTTCGAAATCTCCAAATTCTGAACTAAAATCATCAAAATCTAGGAAAAGTTGTGCAAACGACTGTATATTATAATTTTGGTTTTCGGAACTTTCGGAACTTTCTCGAATTTTGAAACTATAGAATATACTGTAAAACCTGTAATAGAAGAGCCCACACACGCCAAAAAATTTTTTATAATGAAAAATTTTAGGATCAATTTAAACTTAGGTTGAGTTTCGAAGTTATTGAAAGAAACCAAAAAAAAAAGTATTTACCAAAAAAAATCAATAAATCAAAACTCAAAACAAGGCATACAAGAAAATGAGAAGAAATGACTTTTCTCGATAAAATCGAAGAAAAGAACGATCGGAAAAGGAAAAGAGAGGGGGCAAAGCAGGTCACTCAACAATTCCCTCACTATATATTCTTCGATTTTAGGAGAAAGAGAGATGGAGTAAGAAGAAGAAGAACTTTCGCCTCTGCGTCTCTTCCAATCACACACTCTTTAGGCTTCTTGCCTTGTTTGGCGCTTTCTGTCTGAAGGAATGACAGGCAAGGGAGAGGTTCGTTTTGTTTATTTATTGTTCGAGCACTCATTTCTTCTTCTCCGATTCGAAATATGAACAAGAATCGGAGAAGGAGAAGAAGAAGGAAAAGCGGGGAATTTTCTCACCGAAGAATTGTTTGTTGAATGTATTCTCGTTTTGGTTTTCAAATTATGTAACCACAGCTAATAAACGAATAGAATCTGAAGAAGAGACACGGAGGATTAGATTGGAAATGTACTTTTAGGGAATTGTGGGATCCTGGAACATTCAAAACGTTGAATTTTTAAGATTTCAAGTACTGTAAAGCTTTAATTATAAGGTTCAGACCTCCTATTTTTAGGGACCTTCTATTTGAGGGATCCTCCTGATGATGAAATGTTTTACGGTATCTAAATTTTCTTATGCTTAGAAGTTAGAATTTGAAAATTCCAGAATCTCAAAACCCGAGAACGTCAGAAAAACAAAATAAACAAATTTTTTAGATTCTTAAACTTTGAAATTCTGATATTTTGAAATTCAGGAATTCAGAAATTTAGAAACTCAGGAATTAAGAGATTCTGAAACTTTGAAATTCAGAATCTCAGAATCTCAGAGGCTCAGAATCTCAGAATCTCAGAATCTCAGAATCTCAGAATCTCAGAATCTCAGAATCTCAGAATCTCAGAATCTCAGAATCTCAGAATCTCAGAATCTCAGATTCTCAGAATCTCAGAATCTCAGAATCTCAGAATCTCAGAATCTCAGAATCTCAGAATCTCAGAATCTCAGAATCTCAGAATCTCAGAATCTCAGAATCTCAGAATCTCAGAATCTCAGAATCTCAGAATCTCAGAATCTCAGAATCTCAGAATCTCAGAATCTCAGAATCTCAGAATCTCAGAATCTCAGAATCTCAGAATCTCAGAATCTCAGAATCTCAGAATCTCAGAATCTCAGAATCTCAGAATCTCAGAATCTCAGAATCTCAGAATCTCAGAATCTCAGAATCTCAGAGGCTCAGAATCTCAGAATCTCAGAATCTCAGAATTTCAGAATTTCAGAATCTCAGAATCTCAGAATCTCAGAATCTCAGAATCTCAGAATCTCAGAATCTCAGAATCTCAGAATCTTAGAATCTCAGAATCTCAGAATCTCAGAATCTCAGAATCTCAGAGGCTCAGAATCTCAGAATCTCAGAATCTCAGAACCTCAGAATCTCAGAATCTCAGAATCTCAGAATCTCAGAATCTCAGAATCTCAGAATCTCAGAATCTCAGAATCTCAGAATCTCAGAATCTCAGAATCTCAGAATCTCAGAATCTCAGAATCTCAGAATCTCAGAATCTCAGAATCTCAGAATCTCAGAATCTCAGAATCTCAGAATCTCAGAATCTCAGAATCTCAGAATCTCAGAATCTCAGAATCTCAGAATCTCAGAATCTCAGAATCTCAGAATCTCAGAATCTCAGAATCTCAGAATCTCAGAATCTCAGAATCTCAGAATCTCAGTATCTCAGAATCTCAGAATCTCAGAATCTCAGAATCTCAGAATCTCAGAATCTCAGAATCTCAGAATCTCAGAATCTCAGAATCTCAGAATCTCAGAATCTCAGAGGCTCAGAATCTTAGAATCTCAGAATCTCAGAGGCTCAGAATCTCAGAATCTCAGAATCTCAGAATCTCAGAATCTTAGAATCTCAGAATCTCAGAATCTCAGAACCTCAGAACTTCAGAATCTCAGAATCTCAGAATCGCAGAATCTCAGAATCTCAGAATCTCAGAATCTCAGAATCTCAGAGGCTCAGAATCTTAGAATCTCAGAATCTCAGAGGCTCAGAATCTCAGAATCTCAGAATCTCAGAATCTCAGAATCTTAGAATCTCAGAATCTCAGAATCTCAGAACCTCAGAACTTCAGAATCTCAGAATCTCAGAATCGCAGAATCTCAGAATCTCAGAATCTCAAAATCTCAGAACCTCAGAACTTCAGAATCTCAGAATCTCAGAATCGCAGAATCTCAGAATCTCAGAATCTCAGAATCCCAGAATCTCAGAATCTCAGAATATCAGAATCTCAGAATCTCAGAATCTCAGAATCTTAGAATCTCAGAATCG